TGTCAGCAATGAGGTATTTCTAGTGAATTATATATTCTCTTGATTTTGGTTCTGTTGACCCTCCCCACTACAGAAAGCGTAAGAATTTCTTACTCTTGTTTCATGTAACGTACATTGTGTTGATGGTTGCAGGAGGGTGAGGAATATGCCAGAGAAAGTGGCTTGTCTTTTCTTGAAACTTCAGCAAAAACAGCACAAAATGTGAACGAACTCTTCTATGAAATAGGTAAAAGAATTTACATTCACCCTAGAAGCATTGTTCCAACCAAATATGATCCAAGAGCACTTGCATTTGCTTATTCCGTGGGTCAAATTTTGTTGAATATTGTATGATCTGTTTCTTCTTTTTTTCTGTTAAACAATGCCAACAACATTAAGAAGCAATTATTTAGTTCACAATCTTCAATGAATTATTAACCAATTAACGTTTGTGTTAAGATTGCTTACCTAGAAATTATACAAACATTTTGCAGCTAAGAGATTGGTAAAAGCTAACCCTTCACGTCAAAGTGGAATCAAGCTGCATGGCAGACCTACAGAAAGTAGAAGAAGATACTTTTGCTGTGCTTAATGGCATGTTCTTGTCCTCTGGGAAGTATCGTTATTTATAATGTCATGTCTAATTGTACTTAAATATATACACTGTGTCCATTGTTGATGTCAACGTAATTGCTCAAACAAGAAGAACAAAGACATGTTCAGTGTACATTGTAAGATCCAAAGTTGTCCATTGCTTGGAAAAAGATCGCTTTCATTCAGCATCATGAGAACTTTTAGATGGTTTTCATTTGGCTTTTCACATGTGAAAATCATAATTTGTCACCTTCAAAAGTAATTGTTTTTTCAATTATTTTGACCTTTTAGAGTTAATACATTGTTCTATACCTTATGGTATTTTGTCTGTATCTCATTTTGACCTGACCAAAAGATGAAAAGAAAAGAACTTGTCTCTGTTGCATCCAAATGTAATGACATCATTGTGTCCAATACTTTCTCTTTGACTTTTTGATTTATCATACTTTGCCTGTGCAGTATGAAACCTTGATCAATTGCCTAAAGTTTTTCTTTTTATATATTTAGATAGCCCCATTATTGCATTTTACTCTGTTTTCTTATTTTATTTTTAAACAATAAATATGGTTTAAATAAATTGAACAACCTTTGCAAAAGGTAAATTAAGTTAACAAATCCTTTTTTGACATATTATAGAAAAATTAAAAAAAAGTACCATTATTATTCTTCATTTATATTTATTTATCTACCAATAAACATTTAAGTTTATTTAAATAGATCAATATGTTGAAATGAAAAGGCATTTTAAATAATCCAAACCTGACTTCTTAGACTTTAAAAAAGTTTTAACCTAAAATTATAAGAAATTTTTTTTTTTTTTAAAGATTTAGATTATCAGTGAAAAAGATGGACATTTCCTGCTTCTATATTTTACTTTAAAATGAAATAAAAAATAATAATGGTCGTTACAAAATAAATCCCAAATGATTTTTACTATTAACTAGTTAAGGGATATGAGTAACTTAGAAATGCAAATAAATTTGAGAAAAAAACAGTTTATAGTTATAGAAGTAAAAAAGAGTATACAAAAAATATGTAAAAAAAATAAAAATTGTTCCCAAATATAGAGAAGCTTGTGAATGTCATTGCATCTCTAGTTATTTAAACTTTTGGCTAAAGTGGCACTTCTGGTTCATGTTATTTTATTTTATTACTTATTATAATTTGACATTCTCTCTATTATCTTCCTATATTGATGTAAACTAGACATTTAATAATCTAAAACTAATTAATGAGGATGTAAGAAATTAAGTTTTACTAGAATTTCAATTTCTTTATTTTGTTAGGGAATCGTACCATTTGTTCAATTTCACTACCAGCTCAAAATAGACTTTCGTTATTCTTAAAGCTAATTCCTATAATATCTCACCCAGAACTTTCTATTTTTTGTCATTAATCTTTGAATTTTACTGCTTTTATTTTTTTAAGCACGGAAATAGTTATATTTGTGTATAGCCTAAGGGAAATATCAGCTTTCATTTCTTCTAATTTTTCTCCATTGATAAATATACTAAAACAAATTTATTTGAAGGAATCTTACTCCAAATCTTAAATTTAAAATTTAGAATCCTTTATAAGAATTTGAGATTTAAAAATAAAAAACTTAATTATGTAATTAAATTAATTATTAAGTTGAAATACAAATAAAAGAAATTGTAAAAATACTAATCTTAACAGCTCTTATAAGATTCTTATATTAAAATATTCTTATGTACACTACTTTTTTATTTATAAAAACTTGACGAATGTTAGAAAATTTACATGTCACCTGTTCTACTCAACATAAAGAATACTTTTATTTAAACTTATTTTATCTACATTTTCTCTTTTAGTCGAACCAAAAAAAGTCTAGTGTAGTAGTCTTAACTAAAGATTCAAATTAAACACCTAAATTTTATAAAAATATCTCTTTTCAAAACATAATGACATAATATGGCATCTTAAAAGACTTGGACCGTTGGAATTAAACTTAGATAATCTTAAAAATGATGTAATATAATACATTTTAAAGGACAATAGTACTTGCAATGCACTGTTTCTCCACCAATGGACCATTTTGATTTTTATTTTGCAGTGAGCATCCATTACTGCAGTCCACATGCTCTCAATTTCCCAACAAAATCGCGTATCTTTCATTATCTCTCAACCGCTGAAATCAAATAACTTAATAGAAATCAGGGGGAAAGCTGAAGCTTCTTGCCTAAAGGAGTTGCATTGCAGCAGAGCAATGTTGTCGTCCTTATCGAAATGAACAAAAAGCTAAAGGCTGTGCTCGCAGATCGTAGCTGCAGCAGGTGAGAGCTAATTTGTGGGTTTACCCTTCTATACATTATTATATCATGCATCGGAATCACAACCAGGGCCCATAAAAATTCGAGATAGAAACGTTTTCATTTCACTTCTTGCGATAACAAATTAAAGTACTCGATAATATAAATTTTCCCATTGAGAAATCCAGAAAGTTTCCAAGAAAAAACAAGCAGTGAGTACCATGTCAATGGAAACAAGGACCGTGCATGCCCCAAGAGTAACAAGCTAGCAGAATGCCTACATAAACAAAGTTAAATAGTAATGAAGTTGAGTGGCCATGAGTGTTACTATTTACTAAAAACAGGCGCTATGATAACCGCACCTGCAAAAAGAAACTACTCATAGCTTCTTTTCTCATGCTGCTAAACTGCAGTTACTACTTTTGTTCTTCCACCATTGCCTTATTCACAAAACTACCCTCCTAATTAAGACATACCAATAACAGAAGCTTTACGCGTGCAATCTGACCTCAGCATGGAAGAAGAATCACGGTTACCATGAAGGAGAAGTACAAGGGGAGGCGGAGGATGAAGAGAGGCCAATGTTGCTACGGGAATCGCTGCATGAAGTGGCCAAGGACCTTGCATCTCTTAGAGAAACGGAACAAGCCTCTGAAGGGAGCTTCTTCATTGGAGTCAAAGGAGGGGTAGATGGAGGTGACTGGGTGACAGAAGGGGTTGCCTCATCCTCCTCAGAAGAACCACTTCTTTCCAAACGTGAAGGCGAAGTGTCTGGTGTCTCAAATGGGGTATTTGCTCCGCTCCCTTGGCTCTCGTGGTTTTCATAAATGGGGTTGGAAATGTACACAAGGTGTTCTAAGCCGCTGCAAGGTTTATCATCATGACAAAGATTTCCCGTGGTACGAGGAAGTGGGTGTTCGAGATTTGGTTTTGAGGGTGTCATGGATACGAAGGATGGAGGTGGGGAAGGGCTTGGATTCGGATTGGATTCACGGGGTTGGATTTGGACTTGAACAACCTGATGGAGTTCAGGATAGTGAATCTGCTTTCTTGGCCCAGCTTTGTCTTCTTCGCAAGAAACTGCGGGGAGAAGGATGCTTATTGGAGCTTGGAAGACTCCTTGTGCATAAATGCTGCTGATTGGAGACTGTTGTTGGTGGTGTGAGGTTGTCTGAGAAGGTGAAGCACTAGCTCTGGCTGTTGTGGGTTGAGTACTGACATTGGGAATGGTGTTGTTTCTACGGTGGCGCCGGCGGAGTAAGAGAGAACAATAGAGCTCGGCTAACAGCACAAATATAAGGACTAGGACCACTGCAAGGGTTACCACCATCACCAAGGTTGCACCCATAATCACTTTGGATGTGTTCTTCATCTATTCGGAGTGAAACCGCTCACATAGTTTCTCTATGTGTCTCTCTCTCTTCGCAGAATGTGGCTGTAGAAGAGGCACGGTAATATAGGGGTGGTAGGTAAGAACAAGTCCGTTTTGGCGGGAAAACGTCCTTGGCCTTACACAGGAGGCTTAGATGCAACGGATGCAATCGTTAAAGGAGAATGTCCTTGGGAACACAAAGGCTTTGGTCCTTAACCAGTCTGAATTTCGTGTTTTGACATTCCATATCAGAGCAGTCAATTTGTCAATTTACTGCCATAAGCTTGCACCGTAAAAGTAACAAAAGTTATACATGTGCACTCTTCTTCCTCGATTCGTTAACTTCACTGCTTCTTAAAATTGGAAGCAGCACATTAAAAGTTGCCTTTTGCATAACTTTAACCACGTGCCACTCAAGCATTAAAGTGTGAGAAATCGCTTTGTATTCATGTGAGATGTTACAGAATTGAAAATAAAATAAAATTAAGCAATAGTTACAAAATAATGTATTTATAAACGTGTAAACAGCATTATCAGAAAAAAAGGGGGCTAGTAAGAGAGGCTCTGAACTAATAGCGTCTGTCTCAACATCTTTTATTCCCCATTAGCCGACCCGAAGAAAGTAGGAACATGGTAATTTTTTGTTACAAACACTTCTACCATCATAAAAGACAAAACTTGAATTGATGTTCTGTATAGCCCGTAGCATATGTAAGATGATGGCAGAGTCACTATTGTCAACCCACACAGACGAGATCATGCATGACGATTTATAAAAGCACCACAATGCAATCTTCTGTAATTTACCCTTTATCATCCTCTTAGAGCTGCAATCCTAGCTGCTAGATCTTCATAGTCAGGTAAATTAGGATGCACATGCCGAGCGTCGTGTGATCTAACTGGCTCAAATGTAGCAGCACGATTAAATACTTTCTTAATTTCCACTTCTCTCCGTTGTTCACGAGGAAGGGAAAACGATCGTGATGCATGACTAACCAACACTGGTGTCTCATCAGATCCATCGCTGCTTCCACTCTTCTGCAATTCCTTGGTTGAGACATCCATTTGATGTGCATGGTGAATTTTAGAGTTTCTTTTTAATTTTTCTTGCACAAGGACGGATGGTTTTTTGCTATAATGGATCAGCAATTTATCTATTATCCTTTCCTCTTCAGCATTTTGATACCGCTCTTCCTCAAACACAGCTTGCAGACCACGTCTTGAATCATCTCGTCTCCTGCTTCTGCTCCTTGATTTTCTCTGAACTCCAGAGTCTTCATTAGAGGCATCGTAGTAACTTGGCGGTCGTGATCTTGAGTGCCTTCTCCTCGTAGATCTTGGTTTTAGCACATGGACTTCTTCAGCATCTTGTCGAAATGATATTTCTTTTTCACGATTCTGTTTGCTCAGTCTCTCGTGTGTATTGCCCTGCCAATCCTGGTCAGACCTATTCAAACCTATTTGAACCCTCTCCGTCACAGTGGTATCAAGTTTCTCATGTGCGGAATGATATGTAGAGAGGCCACCACTGTCGGTAATTGAAGATGCTCCACGTGTGATATTCTGCTGCTTAGAATTAGGTTGTTTAACATATGGAGGTGGAATGACATTACTGTAGCAGGACTTCAGTGTAGGTGTTTCATCCCTTCGAACATTTCTCTCGGATTTATCAGTTACAGGTGGGCCAACATGATTAACAGAGAATAGCTCCTTTGCATTACTATTGAAATGTGATCCCGCATGACTGGGAGACTTCCTAGCAGTTGCAGTGTCCTGGTTTTCTCTTAGAGGGGTGGTATTCCCCCAACTATCTTCAAGCCTGGAACCACATTCAATTTTTTCCACTGTTTTCTTCTGGGATAAACGATGAATTGGTTTTATCGTACTACCTTGGTTTTCTCTCAGAGGAGTGGCATTCCCCCAACTATTGGGCACTTTGGAACCACCTTCAAATCGTTCCAATGGTCTCTGCTCAGATGGATGTCCAATCGGTTTTAGCATACTGCCCAGGTTTTCTATTGGAGGGGTGGTATTCCCACTACTATGATGCAGCTTGGAACCACCTTCAAGTTGTTCCACTTTTTTCTTCTGAGATTGGTGTCCAGTCAGCTTTAGCATACCAACCTGGTTTTCTCTGGGAGGGGTGATATGCCCCCTACTATTATGCAGCTTGGAACCACCTTCGATTTGTTCCACAGTTTTATACGGAGATGGATGCCCAATCGGTTTAAGCATACTACTCTCCTTCCGATAGCCTCTGTCGCTCTTCTCAACTGTAACCTCAGGCCTTCCTGGATCATCATGGCCATCCCTTTTCTGATGATGAACTTCCCTAACCCCAGGGAGTGTGGATTTAGACTGAAGATTACGTTGATGTCTGTTTAAGACTACACCTTCCTTGTCGTGCTGAAATCTCCACCTATCATCGGCAAGATCACGATTTTCCTCTAACAAAACATCATTCCTTACTTCCCTTTGGGTAAGATCCTTGCCTTGTGATGGTTTATCATGGTTGGGCATACAAGCATTGTGTTCCTGTACATAAAAAAATTAAAAATTTCACATACATTCTAAAAATTTGAAACAAAGTAAGAATTATGTAGGTATTCAATTTTGAGAACGAAACTAGTATAAGGTGAAAAGGAAATGCAAAAGACAGCACCTGTTCCACTGCAGAGGATCTCGACATCCGCAGTTTGAAAGCATTGGAGTCCCAGTTTATTGAAAACTCCGATGCAATATCCTGCATCAAGCAGACCTTGTTCTCCAATGTAGAAGACTTGAAATTCAAATTTGCAGCAAACTGATAAAATTTAGTCAATACAGGAAACATGAGAAGTCATCAATATGTAGTTAAGCTCTAACATAATTGAAAAATCACCTCTTGATTGACATAGCATTCCATGGAATTTCCATATCTCTCCTGAAATATTTGTCTAAGGTCACGTAACTCTGGTAAATCAGAAAACCTTGCAGCACCAAACATCAGAGACGATACAGCCATCCTACATTCCTCAGGGCAACCACTGTAAAAGAAATGGAAGCAATTATGTCATTAAGTATTCAACTTGACTTTGAGGAAAAATATACAACGACTATCCAACCATAACAATTTTGAGACATTTGTGACAGTTACAGGTGTCCAACCAACCATATTCATCAACTGAAAAATAAATAAACATAACTCCACCCACTTCTACATCTTTTCACCAGTTCATCTCACCAAAAACGCTATTAAAGTTGCTTTTATGATCGGGAAAAGCGTAACTGAACCTAAACAAAGAAAAAATGCAGGCGCAAATGCCAGATCAATTTTCAACCACACCAGAATAACTACACACATGTGAACGTGTAGTAGATGCACAATCATTATGGTGTAGTCAATAGTATTGGTGACCATTTTAAGGAATCACTTACAGCATTGTAGATACAAATTAAGAAACCTTTTCCTTTAAAATGGTGCAATTTCTACAACTGGGATTCTTGATCAAACAACGAGAGAAAAATTAATGACGAATGATGATATCAGAAGAAAAAACACCGCACCAACTCACTCATAATCCTTATCTCCAGAGAAGCAGGGTATTTTATTTGGTCGAATGCGCTTGTATCCGTTACGCAATGCTTATCCATACGATACATTTAGTTACTTATTTATTGTTTAAAAAAAAAAAAAACTATAGGCGGCTTGAGTATGACTTTAATCAAACTAGGTGCAGCCATGATATAAAGATATAAAACTAGATATACGTTATAAGCCCCTGCGTAGTTTGACATTTTTTAAAAACTAAATTGAGCAATATTTGTCTCCTAAAATTTTCATTTTTTTCTTCATTCAATCAAACTCACAATATGACATCGGTGATATGTTAGATATTTTATACGAGTTTGAAATAAATGATTTTATCACAATTTACATCGATTTTATATTCGTCGTTCATATTATTTCAGAATTATAGTAACGTATCCATACTTTTTATTTATTTATTAGTTCTAAAATTTACTGTATTTCGTGCATCATTTATACCCATCCTGGGGCCGAAATTCACATTAACTTTGTAATAGCCAAAGCAATTAGTCATAATTCCGAGTTGAATTGAGAATTAAAATGAAGAAAAAAAGAATAAATAGAGGAGATATCAAGAAGTTTAAAACAAACGAACAAACTAATAATACCTCAGCTTCTGCATCGCTGGGAGGTGCTTCAACACAAACTCACAGCATTGTTCAACGAAACCATAGCAAGAGGACAGTGTTAACTCAACCACGAGTCCTTCCGCCTGTTTAAACACCTCGCAACAAAACAAAACTTAATTGAAAACGAGTTCATCAAAGAGACAAGGCAATGTTCACACATTAAAAACTCTACTGCAATCCATCACTCGATGAAAACTAGCATCCTCAATAATCTAACGTTACAGAATCGAGAAACTGCACAAAAGAAAAACAAACACAAAAGGAAGAGAACCGATTACCCTTCCGTAGGCATTAATATCGAGACCGTTGAGCAATAGATCAGCAATATCCTTCTTCAGAAACTTCTCTGTAGCTCTTCTCTTCCTCCGTATCACATCAATCCGACTCTTCGTCAATTTGATCAACGATTTGCTGAGAACAAAAAAACAGGAGAAAAAAAAATCACGTTTATCGTAATGAGAAGCATAAACGCACTCTTAACTCTCTCCACCTTTCATCAAATAATAACAACAATAAATAAAAACAAAGCACAGAGGAAGAACCATTTCGCGGTGAAGCCTCTCCCAAGTATTCCGTCCAACATGTTGGAAGTCCTCCGTTGTGCGACTCAGTTCGCTGTGGAAGTTCAGAACTCGATATTCGCCACTGCTGAAACCTTCATTGTAGAGTAACACACTGTGTTGCAGTGAAAGAAGAGGAAGAAGAGAGAGAAAATATATATAAATAAATGCATACGAATAAATGAAAACGAATAGTCGAATAAATGGAATTTAAGAAAACGATAGTATTTCTGAAGGCACTTCTGCTACGACGATAATGACCTTTGGCTGTTTCAATAAAGACGATGGTTAATGCGAACGTTGGTAGGGTATTTTCGGTAGTTAGAGGAGTTTTGTTCGGCTGCAGAAAGAAATTTAAAAGTACAATGAAATTGAGTGGTTTGGCCACTGAATTTGGTGACACTGGAAAAGAATTGAACGGTGAAGATCTAAAGTGACTTGCTGAGCTGGAATACACATTACGATAAAGAAATAGAATGGGCTAAGGATTAAGAGCCGTTGCGTCACTCATTGGCTTCTTAGTATTAAAAAGAAATTACAATATAATAATAGATGAAAATGAGGAGGAGACAAAAAAAAAAGTAAAATAATAAAAAAAAGGTATAATATGATAGAAGAATAGAGAAAGAAAATTTATTTCCATTAATGATAAAAAAAGTATATAATTACTTCATAAAAGTAAGATAAAAAAGATTAACTAAAATATTTATATATTAAAAAAAAATATAAAAACAAATTACAAATTATTCTTTGTTGACAGGTTAGTTATACTTATTATCTTATATGTGATATACTACAACTTAATCGTTATTAGCTTAATAAAATGATAATATATGCGTTTTGGTAACAATAGAAAAGAATAAAACAATAAGATGCTAAATAAGTGGTGATTCTCTATTGGAATACACAATACTATTTAAAATAAACTTGTCTTAAAAGGACACTGGTGAAAACAAATTTCATTCATCTATTACTCACTTGACATTATAAATTAAAATTTAGTTTAATTAAATGAAATAAAAATTACGTTATAGTTATTTATTGTAGCTGAACGAGTGATGGTAATAGTAAATTGATATTGTAAAAAAGTTTAAAGCCTTCTTTCTCCCTCTTTTTTAATTCACTTATATATTCACATCAAAGTTTACAATCATGACCATCCCTGGTATAATTAGATTCAGATTCAAAAAAAAAAACATGAAGTTTCTCAAAGTAACAAACAGATACTTGCATCACTTCAAATACTATAATTATTTTTATATAAATTATGAAATAATATTGAAAAACTTTTTTTCATTTCTTTATAATTCAAAAGAAGAAAGTGTCACAATAGTGGACTTTTCTGTGTTGATTTTGTTCGTGAAATAAAACATCACACCTAGTATGCCTAATCTTGGTATCTTTAGATCTTGCCTTGTGATGGTAATAAAACTTTAGTATGACAAATATGTCATGACAACTCACTATCTAAATAATTGTCATTGCGCATCTTTCTGCTCTCAACACTTTGCATGGAAAACTCTAATCAATAAAGTGGCAACTGAGAACAGGAACAAATTTAGACAACAATCTATGTGCTACCTGTGGTTTTGCAAAAACGTAAGTTATCTATTTTTTTACATGTAGCATAGCACATAATGCGTGAAATCTTTGTGGAAACTTGGTAGGACAGAATACTGTCATTCACAATGAAACCATATAAAACTTTTCCCAGTTCTATATTTTGGAACTAAGCAGAAAATATAATACACTTTGGAGAAGTATATGGATTACAATGAAGGTCATTTGGGGCCAAAGAAATATAAATTATCTTTGGAAATGATAGTAGTTATATGAATAAAAGATATTTGACGTGTGTTAGCGGTCAATCAATACATAACACTTCCACAATTTTTGTTGTAATAGTTGTGTTACACTTATTAGACTATACCTGTATTTATGAGTTTTCTAGAAATCATACCAAAATCTACAAGTGGTCCTAATCGATACTCATATAGGTGATTTCATAAGTATATGATGTAAACCATACACCACTTGTAAGAGATATGAATATCATTAAAAACTTTGTTTAAACTAAAATTTTTATGCCACATAGAATTTTAATTAAAAGTTTAACCTGTTAATAATATAATCTCATTTTTCACACACATAAGAATGAACATAATTGATTTAAAATTAATTTAATGCAATCAAAACTAACAAATGACTTGTTTTTACCCCTATGAATTTATTCATAGGATCTCCAATTACAAAAGTTATGTTACCATCACTTTTTGTTTGCAAGTAGCTTACGTTTCATTCTCCTTAATGTTTCTAAAATCATTTTTTTCCATTGGTTTTGTTAAAAGTTATGCTAGATTCCATTCTAACTTCACATAATTAATAGAAATAATTTTACTTTTAGCCGTTGCTTCACCAAATTATTTCTCAACTGTATATATTTATTTTTTTTATTATAGTCCTTGTTTTTAGCTATAATTATTGTTGATTGACAGTCACAATGTATTGACATAGATGAGGTTGGTTTCATCCCTAGTGGAATGTTTGCTAATAATTTTTTTAACTACTCTGCTTTACTAGTAGCAATTTTGAGAGCAACTGTTGATATTGTAATAATTGTTTTTATGTCTAATGTCCATGTAATCGCATCACCCCTAAAGTGAATACATAATCATTAGTAAATTTTGTTTCATCTGAATCAAAGATCCAATTAGCATCATTGTATTCTTATAGTATAACTATAAATCCACTATATTCAATATCATACTCCATTGAATCAATACATATTTTATAAGTGTTTCAAGTGAGTATCAATTTTCCTAATTAGAACACTTAGTGTATTTATTCAATACTTACTTCATAAGTAATATCATGTCTATAATAACTCATTAACTACAATAAACTCTCAATTATCTAAGCAGCATATTGAAATTGAAAAATGAATTATCCTTTATTTTTTTAATTTAAAATTAGCGTAATAAAGAAATAAATGAGATAATAAATTCAAATACCAAGCCCACGTATGAAAAAAAATGGATGGATAAACAGGGTAATCCAGAAGCCATGATTACCAATACGTACTAAAATGGAGACTCTATCTTCTATTTTTGGACAACACTGAAACAATTTAACATATAAAACAGGTGATTAAAGCTGGTTTTCTGAATCAGAAGCTAACGGAGATATTTTATGTTAAGACTTTTTGTTATAAATATATAATTCTTGGTTGAAAAAAAAAAAACTACCCACAGAAAATATTAAAACCAATTTTAAATGTTTCCTACATTAAATTATAGTTACACCACTTTATCACAACATTTAGTTACCTATAAAGCGAACGCTCACAAAGTCACAATAACATTAATATCACCGAAGAATAAGGTTACAACTTGAAATCTCATTAAAACTCACAATTGCGTCAATTGCCCCTTGCGAAGGCAAAGAAAAAAAAATCAATAATAAAAACGTACCAAACAAAGTTGATGAGAAAAATATAAAATTTAATTTTCTTAAAACATGTTTGAAGGGGAAAACTTGAGTTCATTAACTGAGACATGAGAAGAGAGGGCAATTTGTTTATTTTATTTAAGAGAGGTGATTACCATTTGTAAACAAAAATGTTAAAATAATAATTTTATTTTAATTTATTATTTTATTTTAAAAATATTTATGTGAAACCACAAACTTATCCTTCTTTTCTTTTCGTCGAAAAATAGAAAAAGGAACAAATGCAAACTCACATGGATATATACATGCTTAATCAAATGATACCACGAGTTAGTTATGGTAAAATATCTCCTTTAATAATTTTTATCACTATTAAATTCTATCGACCCACATATTTAACCAAGTGAGATATTATTGTTAAAACAATGTAGAATAAATTTTAACTGACTTGGATATTTGCAAACAGTAATTATTGATTTATATTTCAATAAGACCTTATGTAAAATAAAATAATATAAACTTTTTAGATGCGTAAAATTTAATAGACTTAATATTTTATAAGAATTTTAGGTTAACAGATGGATTAGTAAAAAAATTCCTTTTTGATAAAAAAATTTGAGTGTCATCTATTACTATCAAATTCTTCTTTACTTCAAAATATAGCTCGTTAGCTATTTTTTTTTCTCTCCAAAAAGTTGTCATCATAATAAATTCCCGTGACGATTCTTTATTTAAAAAAGATTAAATATGTTTTTAGTCCCTAAACTATTAGTTGTTTCTGGTTTTTGTCCCTTTTTCAAAATAAGGTACAATTTAATTCTTATTTTTTTCAAAATTTTGGTTTTAGTCCTCGAAAACTAACACCGTTAAAAATGTGGTAGTTTTCGAAGTTAGTTTTCGAGTACTAAAACCAAAGTTTCGAGGACTAAAACTAGAGTTTCGAAAAAAATGAGGACCAAATTGTATCTTATTTTGAAAGAAGAACGAAAACCAGAAATGGTCTAAAAATATATTTAACCCTTTAAAAAACAACTTAAATTCAGAGATGGTGTGTTAATGTACAACCTTTTTAATAAATTAAAAGACAATTAAATTGAATTTAAATAAAAATTAAGTTGTGCTTTCAAACACGATATAGCAGCAATATGATATCTCTTCGTTATTTATCCATATAAAATACATTATCCTTCTTCCATTTCTGATCCACCCAACGTAGGATGTTACTTTAGGAATAGACATGTTGGCAGCACAGACCGTTGAAGATGGTCCCACAGGTATGACATTGACGACAAACCAGTGGTTAAATTCGACATATTCTCTCCAAGTTTTCTATTTCACGCCCCCATGTTCTTGCTCCAGAATTTGCCTGTTCGCTACCAGTTTTCCTTCAACTCATCCAACATACTGAAAAATTAGCTGAGGAACCAGATAATGGTTGAAGATAACATCTACACGAAATGTAGCCACTGCCTTTCTAGACATAGGGTTTCAAGCACATCAATGTACTCATTGCCACCATAATACCTTACATGTATAAAGAGGTTTCAATCTATGAAATTGCAGGAGTGGAAAAGGAAAAGGATGCATTCCATAAAATTCTTACGATCAATATTTACTTTAAACCTCTGAAAAACTGTTTTACGATATTTCCAATTCTTTGAAAACGAATAAGCCAAACACATTTTCAAGATTCTCATTTCCTAAAAACAAAGTTAGGATACCATAAC